CACGGGACGCGGTAGTGATTGCAGCGTTGCGAATCGCGCTCTCAGGTCACTTGTCTTCATGAAATTTGATTGGTTCTTGACTCTGAAGGGGGTTGTGCATTACGGACGTGTAAACTAAACAAATCTTGCGATGCTAATGATATTGAAAAACAAACACACATCAAGATACAGTTTTATGAGGAAAAACTTACCATAAACTTCACCCTGGTGCCAATAAATTCCCACAAAGCTTTTTAGTAATCACTTGGTGAAAGTGTTAGCTAACGGCAGTGTGTAGCATACTCTCCTCTCATTGGTCAGTCAATGAAACCCTCGCTGAGTGGTTGTATGCTAAGTGACAGCGACAAAAGTTCAACATTTTTCAACTTTCATATGTAGCGTCGCAAGCTCGCGTGTGCACGTGTACGTGTACGAGCGCGAAATTTCACATGCACTATTTTCGCCGGTCGCTTAGCTGGAGGAGGGCAAGCGATTGTCGCCTCACCGCACAGGCTCCATAGGAAATGAATGGAGAGCGAGCGACGTCGCCTCCCGTGTGTCGAGCCCTTCAGACTGAAGAAGTCTCTTGGAGAAGAGACGAAACGTTTCATTAGAGAATAACCCGTCCAGAAGACCTATATAATTTTTTTCTTTTTCTAACCATTAATAGTCTGTTCCTAACCTGAACCAAAACTTAATTCACATCATACCGCTAAACTTAACTAGTAATGCTGCAAACAGTGTGAGGACTGGGACAAGGTGTTCACTTTCATCAAAGACCTCACTTTGATAGTAACTATTTTACAAGTTGTCCTCACTCTGTAGCAGAAACAAGTGCACACACACACACATGTTTGTACTTCTTACCTCGTGGGGACTTCCATTTATTTACCAATGATTTCTATAGCCTAACCCCAGTGTTGTATAAAAGTATAAAAATGTGTAAAAGGTATAAAGTGTTTAAAGTATCTTTAAACAGAGTTTAAAAGTTGAATATTTACAACTCATTGGCTTATAGAATTAAGAGCTATTACATCTTAAAATATTATGTCATTGTCAATGTTTGACCCCACCAGCTTCAGCTGAGTCAGTTCACTTCATCAGATGATTCTATTCCTTCAAGAAATGCTGAGTCATTACCTGTTTAATAGTTTAAAGTAACATGAAAATTTGCTGTAAACAGACTGTAATACAGCTGTCATCACCTTTGCCTTGTGTTTTGTTTGATCCTGCAGGAAATGATTAAACAGCTTCAGGAAGAGGTGTGCTCAATAGAAGAAGCTCAGTGTGTCTTCAGCAGCTTCTCGGAGTGGCTCAGCTCAGCTCAGAACAGCTTCAGTTCTGTAGCTGGAAGTGTTGACATGGTGGATCGACTGGCTTTGGAAAGAAAGATGAAGAAACTGGAGGTATGTTTGAAACTTAATTAGAACTCGTGCCATAAGTTAACCATGTGATTCGTTGAATATTTTCTGTCATTTCAGAGTCTCCAGGCTGACATGGAGCAGGGTCACCTGTATCTAAAGACCATGAGGGAGAAGACGGAGCGAGTCATACCCTTCTTAGAGGAGCCTGAAGCAGAGCAGCTCAAGGAGGAGGTGGACATCCGACTTTTTCAACTAGAGGAGTTAATGGCAGCTCTGCGTACGGAGCACAGCTCCCTGGAGAAATGCATGTTGCTCTCCAAAGACTTTATGGATAAATATAAATCCCAGGCCCAGTGGGTGGTGGAGACCAAAAACTTCTTAGCTTCAAGTCTGGAGCCTAAAGCTGAGCTCTACCAGAAGAAGGCTCAGCTCGCAAAGTACAAGGTACATTCAGATGGGTCAGTAATGCTGGGGTAATGCTGATCATCTGGTCTATACTTTACCTTTTATAGGTTTTTATAAACAGAGGTGGAAAAAAGTACTACAATAACATACTCAAATAAAAGTACAGTTACTCAGTTGAGATTTTACTCAAGCACAAGTTACATTACCTGTGAAAAAATCTACTCAAATAAAAGTAATACAAAAGATATTAAAAATGTACTTTAAGTAAAAGTTAGTTACTTTTTCAGACCAGGAGGAAGTCTTTCAAGTAACATATACAGATGACAAAATGACTATTTTTTTAATTGCACCATCAGCCTGGCTGGCAGCTTAGCTTTCTTCAGCTGTCRCAGGAAGTACATCCTCTGCTGGGCCTTCTTGATGAGGGAACTGATGGCCGACTCCCACTTGAGGTCCTGGGTGATGGTGGTGC